TAGATATATCAGCCACTGCCCATGCTTTTATTAAATGATGTTTATTACATGCTATATCAACAATAACACACGTTACCGTGTGTTTAACGTATGTTACTTTTCACAAAGTAGTATTCCTTTCAACTAGGCCTAGTAAGCTATTGCCTGAAATTTTCAATTTAAAATTTAATTAAAAATATCAACTATTTTGTTAACTAAATATAGTCGAGACACAACCTATAATAAATACTTACCAAATTGCTTCACTTTAATGATGGGCGTAGGACCAACATTCGAGGGAAACACAAAGTTGGTAAACACGAGGTTCTGGGTGTCAATTGCTCAATGCCCTCTATATTTCATTAATATGGATTAATATTCCATTACGTAACGTAGGTTAACGTACATTAACTTTCTAATTACAATTTCTAATTAAACATGATCACTTAACACAAATAATGATTTACTGAAGCTGTATCCATGATTATTACTTAACTACCAGTACTTCTCACGTTTAGTTTGGTTCAAATTCTTGTACTGGTGTATGAAGAAAGCAGGTAACGTATGTTACACTGCTTAAAAGCGACAATCAAAATTTCAAGTTTAGGACCATATTTTGCATAGAAGACTATTCTACTTTTCCGAATAAACAATACAGTATTCATAAAATCTTCTACTAAGCAAATATTTGCTATTTCATTAAAGTTTTGCTGCAATAATATATGTTTTTCCTGGCAAATATGATTAGGCCTATGTAACGTAAATTACGTGAATTTGGCGACACGGTTAAACTTTACCATAACCATACTACAAAATTTGGTAAAAATTGACAACCTTCCAACCAGCTAACAAACCGGTAACTATAAGCCCTGTGGTACACAGCATTTTTGGAATGGCAAATTTGCTAAGACGGTATTTTTTATCTGGCAACAGACGAATTTTGCATACTCATATGACTAAAAATATCGTCTTAACTCTGTTGTTAGTTATCAAAACTCCATGAAATTTGATAAACTTTTATAATATATTTTGGCCTTTTGAATTTTTGGACAAATGTACGGTATTATTTATTTAATAAAATAATATTTAATTTGTATATAATAAAATTTTATCACTGAGATAGCAGATAATGATGTCAAAATATTGTATATACATGGAGGCTTCATGATCAAAAGTTCTTGCCAAGATTTGGTATGTTGATCCCCGGCGCGGCTGGGCTGCTGGGCCGCGGCTTGGTGCCTGGAATCGTAAATAGGCCGTGAAGTAAAAAGTTTTCGGAACGCTGGTTTAGGTGATGTAATGCTGGTGAATACACTTCATGATACAAATTGATGTTGCAGTGGCCCTATTTATTGTTTTATATTCGTAATTCCCAGCATTTATTTTGAAAAGAAGCCCCTCCTAAAAAAAAGAAAGAAAAAAAAAAGCCCAGAGCTTCAATTCAAGATTTTACGGTTGCTCTACGCATATAAAATCCCTTTGATTTATATATTAAATTTCATTTGCCCGCTACTTTTCCTTTGGGGCATGCTGTATTTTTATCAATACATTACACGTCTTAATTTTTCACGCTCAATATTTCACATAAGGTAATGTTTATTAGATGAATCACGTGACATTTCAACTAATTGTACTACACAGGTTGAATCGATTGCAACATAATTTTGGGTCAATAAGCAATATACATGTATCATGGCCGGCGGAACCGGGGGGGGGGGGGGGGGGGGCGCGGCCCCCCCCCCCCCCCCCCCCCCGGATACGTCCCTGCCACTATGTGTGAGCGTTTCAGTCAGTTGTATGAGAAAAGGTGTCTAGGGTTTTAAAGGCATGTTATATTATATCAGGTCTCCGTGTTCTAATGGATGTGTACAATCATTAAAAGTTGACTTGCGTAACACAAATTTATTCAACTATAACAAAATCAAACGGATATTTCGATAGCTCCTGCTATCTTTATCAACATTATTAGAAACCTAGGTTAAAAGTCGAGAAAGATCATTTCCCGCCATCTAGAAATAAAAATTTTCCCGGGTTGGTGGGGGGGGGGGGAACCTCTGGATCCCCTTTCCTTCCTTCCTTTCCTTCCTTCCTTTCCTCCGAAACCCCTAGGTTTTTCCAGATCTGCATGATTCATATTCCCATTCATCTTATAAGTGGGCCCCCCACTTTGAAAAACGTTCCGCCGGCCCTGTGTATATACATAAGATTCTAATGCTTATGTACTGTATGTTGCATTACATATTGTTTATACTGACTAATCAATGTATCTTAACCATATATCTTTTACTTAAACACTTTTAAACTTTATTTTATATTAAGTTTATTTAGGCATATTTGTATATTGAACTTTGGAAAAAGAATTTCATATAAAAATTTTGTGTGTCAATAAAGAGAGACTTGAACTTGAATATACTACAACACTTTGAAATAGCAAAGAATGCCTATCTGTCTACAAAATTGTTTAACAGTGAATTTCACTTAAAGTGTATGCCAAAGCACTAATTCCAATTTAACTTTTTTCATAAGTAAATATTTACTCTTATTAACAGGGGCGCAGCCATAGGGGGGTCAAAGGGGGCCCCGACCCATCTGCCCCATCAAAATTTTTAAAAGTATCCCAATTATAGTAGTAAATGAATCGGTAATGTAAAAAAATATAATGTATGAAATGTAAGCCACCCTCTTTCTATTATGATTTACAGAATAACTGTGACCCGTGAATTCTGTTCTTACAGTAATAATTAAAGTTCAAATTACAGTAAAAACATTTTGTTACAATCATAGTAACTCTCTGGTTACGCGTATCGGGGTAGCAAATGGAAACGCTGTAACTTATTACAGTACTGTTTGGTATAAATGATCAGAGAAGAGTTAAAATTTAACCTCCCTATGCGACCAGCTCCCGTAAGCAATCACCTCCCTTAACGTCCACTCTCATATAGTCCCGTTTGTTCTCCCTATCTAATTAGTGCATTTGACCTCCCGTAAGACACTGCACCACCTCCCGATTTTTTTTACTTTGGGATTTTTCTTATGATTTACCTCCCGTAAGCGACCACCTCAAAATTTTGAACTATCTGTTGACAATAGGCCTAAATACAATCATATCTAACAAGTCGAACCGAAAGTTAGACTCTGTCATGGTGCACTGTTTTCGTCAACCTAACATTATAGGCTTAAGCAACATAATGAAAATACATAAAAGCGATAGATAAATAGGGCTACGCTTTCTCTCGTCCAAGAAAATGCTTGCATTAGGCATATAGCAAAGAATACTTTGCTCTGTGTAGTAGGTAACAGAACAACATGCCTGCTTTTAAGACCTATTTAAAAATAGGCCTTCATCGGAGGTTCATGATTATAAAATCATCACCATTTGTTGTTGGAACCAGGAAAGAGTGAAATCTTACGCCAAATTTATTTTCCTATTTACAAATTGCGATCAGGCTGACTTTTTTAAAATTTTTAATAGAAATTAACGTGGTGAATCCTCTCAATTTTATCTTTTATTACGTAAAATAACGCAAATTTTTGGGGCCTCCGATCCGTGGACCCCTGCCGGAGGCCCTTGTCGGCCTCCTGGCCCCAGCCTAGTCGGTCGCTGCGCTCACATCCCCTCAAATTTGTCCTTTGCTGCGTCCCTGATAGAGTAAATTTTATTCTTAAAATACGTTAAAAAGTAAAATCACACTGAATGATAGAGAGAAATTTCACCTTTTTCATTTCAATTTATTTAATAATCCATGAAAGCGCTCTATCTTTTTCACTCTATTGTATTTTAGAGATGGGTTATTATAGCCTATTACTGTTACAGAGTCTACTTATTTTAATTGACTTTAACCTCCTACATTCCGATTTGTATAACTGGATGAAATATTAATGTTTTTGTTTGCGATTTACTTTTAATTGATGAACATTTACAATTGTTGTAGATAAAACGAGGGGGAAATGTATATTATATAATCCGTATCAAGCGTGGATGAGAGTAAGTAAAACGACTACCCACGCGTAAAGTGTAAGTGGGATGCTATCCGGTTCCGTTTTTATTTAGAAAATCTAGAGTATCCTCAATGAACCGTTGAAAGCAATTTGTAGCCGAAAAACATCAAATCAAGTAAAGTTTAAGTGGTCCTATGAACTAGTAAAAAAACAGTTTTCACTGCAGGCGTATGTGTACACTACCTTATTAAATTCTCTTAAAGGTTTACGGCTCACACATGGAATATGAAAACAAGTTAAGAGTCTGTAAATATTATAAGTTCGATTTGTAGAAACCACAATAAACGATTACAGACTAAGCCCCGGGTTTTGATAATATGACCAAAAAGCCTATAGTATAGTTGTAGGCCTACCATTAATTAGGAGACAATAACAGTGTTAAATTATCTTTTTTCACGTAATCATAAGCCTACAACGATTTCTTTAAAATAGTCCAATGCGTTGCATGCGTTTTAATTTCAAGAGTTCCCGCATTTTAATTTGACTGTATTGGCCTGCGTATGTATGGCGTTTCTTGAATTATCGTCATTTCTCGGTTGTCGGTTGTAAACTAAGGTCTATAATTTTTTACGCTTGATTAATAAGTGAAAAAAGAGAACGATAAATGTTAAATATTGTTTGTACTATTCCTATCAAAAGAATATGAGTTTTACTGTTTACCGCCAAATATTCAAAACTTGCAAGAAGTAACTTTAACTTTAAACAAAAGTTAACAGAAATTTCCGCCTGTTATCGAATTGTGTTTATTTTCTCTTAGTGGGTAAATTAAAAAAAAACGCAAATATTAGGTGCTCTTAAAATGCTATTTTATGATTTCCATATGGTCAAACCTGGAAAATGTTCTTGTAGCAGTATTTTTTTTACAACTACAGTCATATACATGTTTTAAAATAACCTAAATTAGATCCATAACGTGTAATGCATTTAGCTTTAATTTTCTCTGAAATGACATCATATATGCATGTTCATACTGAGTATACAAATATTATTGTATGGGAGGCCCTATGGGAAATATGCAAAATATTCACTGACGCTTTTCTCATAATAAGATATCACAATAGTGTATACAATTGTCTGTCAGAATAATATCCTAATAAAACCTTAATCATGAGATGACTTCAAGCTGGAGAGTGTCCTTATCCTAAATTCTCTTTTCGAGATTAATATGTAAATGACTCGCCGTATATATAAGGCCTTCTGATAGTTACAGACGAGACAACAGTTGGAAGAAGAGGTACTAGATAAAAGTCGACCATAATGCGGACAGCGGCACGTGCAACGGTCATTCTTTTCCTTTTAGTTAACTTTTTTAATACAGCAAAACCCTATCGTTGTATAGATCTCTGCAGAGCCAAGTACAAACAAATGAAATGGAATAAGCTTTCTAATTGCGTTCATAATTTATGTGCGTACAAGAAAAGTAAGTGTTTTCTTTTTACATTTGTTCTAAAGGAACTATTTCTGGAATTCATTAGATTAAAAACTAAAACGACAATAAATACAGAAGCAAAGTATAAGCTGATGATTATGCATAATTTATAAAACACATGAATTTGTAAATGTCAGTAAACTTAAGCATTATTCTAGTGTGAACATTCACTACGGTATCTTAACATACAAATTCTGTCAAACACCAATAAAATGTATAGCCTCGGCAATAGTTCTCGTCTCGGTGATAATGTTTATTAAAGTAATCGAGAAAGTAAACTCCAGCCAACTAAAAGTGATATTTATTTAAAAAGAAAAGAGCGAATAGCTCAGTTAATATTTGGTTTACCCGACATATTATTGACGACAATTTTAATTCTGTCTAAAAAGATATAGAATGCTGATAGGAAGGACATTTTCAGGTTCCAATGTTCATATAAAATTAGAATCAATTACTTATCTGTTGTGAGGATTGTTAAAACAATACTGTACAATGAATGATCCAATAGCACAGTGGCGCTTCTAAGATCTGTGGAGAATTTTATAAATAATTACTGTAGTGTTAAATTCAGACTTTATTCTACATCGGTCTACCTGACTTGTTGCAGTCAGTGTTACATGAATCAACGAGGAATCGGTTATTTAATAATTTCTATATTTTTAGGAGGTTTTCAGTCACCAAGTGACCGGTTAATTACTGATTCAACGATGCAGTCAAATCCTGATAACAATTGCATCTTAGATACCATGTGGAACGATCTTTCTAAAAGTTCTCAAGAATTTATACTTAAGGTGAGCATGAGCAAATTTGTTCAACTATTATTATTTGTTCTAACATACATACTAATGCGTCTAAAGTATCAAGGAATTAACCTCATAATATCTACATTGTCTCTTTACGTTTCTATTTATTACTTTGCTACTTTATTCAATTCATGCTCTATGTATACTTTCACACCATTTATCTTAAAATTGGTATTATTATTATTATTATTATTATTATTATCATTATTATTGTTATTAAACTTGGAGAACGTAATCGTATGATTGCTAAAATTTGTATTATATACAGTAACATAATACAGGCAAATATTTAATGTTTGTGTAATATGTAAAATGCTTGTATAACAAAAGGAAATGTATACTTCATTTTCCTTAATATATCTGGGCAGGCATAGACCTACATATAAAATATATGCATATATTCATTTATTTTAATGTATTTTACCAGGAGCGATAAATCCCC